CACACACACACTGACTGTGTTTCCTCTCAGGACTGTGAGCTGCTGGAGGATCCGAAGGAGAAGAGAGACTCTCTGCTTCAGAAACTCCGCCAGCGTATCAAAGAGAGAGACCGAGCTCTGGAGGTAAGTTCTGTTTTCAGGGGCGTGAAGTTCTGGGGCAAAATAACGGTGGTATAAATATGTTTCATTTAATTAGTGCCTTTATTGATGAAGATTTATTTTCAAGAAAGCCTCATTTAGATTAAAAATCTGTTCACAACCAAACACACAAATCAAGCTGAAACACTTAGTTCTATTTCTATTTATTTATTTTAATTGTTGTTTATACAATAAGTTAAATAACAATAACAGACAAACATAACCTGAACAGTGGAGTGGAAAACAAACAAAAACAAGATAAACAAAAATAAAATACATGTAAAAAAAACAACTAAATATATAGTTTATAATTTATACTAAAGGAGAGAAAAGGAAATCAAAAATCCAAACTAAAGGACTGCAGCTCCATTAGCAGTCAGTCAGTTCTTCATTACTTTAGGACTGTACAGACTGTGGTCGTGTGCTGCAGTGTGCTCAGGGATTCCTCAATCAAAGTGTCAGTCAGGAGCTTTCTGAACGGTTAAATTAGGACCATTGAATTGATTGATTGAACCTTTGTTCGTGCAGCGAGCGGTGGACGAGAAGTTCCGCTGCGTGGAGGAGAAAGAGGAGGAGGCTCGTCGGCTTCAGCTGCTGCTCAGAGAGAAGGAGAGAGACCTGGAGAGGCAGCGCTGCGTCCTGGCCAACAACGAGGAGACCATCACTGTAAGAACCCACAGATCGCACTTCCTGTCCCTCTCGCCATCACACCTCTACCGCTCACTGATGGCTGTGTGTGTGTGTGTGTGTGTGTGTGTCAGAGCCTCGAGGTGCTGGTGCGAGGGAAAGCTCTGGAGCTGGAGCAGGTGTGCGACGCCTGCAGGAACGTCCAGCGGCAGCAGCAGGACAGCGAAGACAGACAGAGCCGCATCCTACGAGAGAGAGACGCCATCATCGGTCAGCTGCAGGCGGCGCTGCACGCTCGCACGCAGGAGGCCCAGGTACACACAGGATGTGATGTAATATCGGCTGTGATCTGTGTGTCTGCGGCCGTAGTGTAATTGTGATTAAAGAAATATTTCAAAATAAAAGCATACTGTTCCAATTAGGAAAATGTATTTTCAACCCTAAATCTTTCTTTTAGACTAGTCCAGTCTAAATTTAAACGTATTAAAGATAATTTATGTCTGTTTCTTCTCTGTAGGACCTGCGCTGCTCCCTACTGGCTCAGATCCAATCAGCTCCCAGCGACGTCCTGGAGGAGCTGAAGGTCCGCCTCCAGCTCAAAGACCGCCTCTTCCAGGAAGTGCTGGCCGACCGCACGCACCAGGCCCAGGAGCACCAGGAGCAGGTGCAGGGTCTGCTCAGAACCATCAGCTCCAGGGACCAGTACATCCAGGTAGAGCAGAGGAGCTGTGTAGAGGTTCTTACAGGTCCAGAATAAAGTCCTGTATGGATAAACTGACAACAATCTCCCTGCAGGACTCCGCGAGCCGCCACGGGGAGGTGATGACGGAGCAGACGGCGAGGCTCCAGGAGCTCCGCAGGCAGCTGAGCTCAGCTGTCGGGTCGAGGCCTGATCCCGGAGCAGACCTGGCTGTGGAGCTCCAGGCCGTGCAGGAGGAGCTGCGTCTGGCTCTGAGGAGGGAGAAGGAGAGCCAGGAGCTGAGCTGGAGTCAGGCTACCAGGGTGGACTCCCTCACCAGGACCCTGCATGTGAAGGAGGAGATCATCAGGGTCAGTGTTAGTGTTTCATTCTCTATTAAACCAGCATTTTCTGCTTCTTATTAATGCATGTGTGCGTATACGTGTCCTGCAGGACTTCCAGAGGCAGTTGGTGGAGCCCTCAGGTCTCCCGCTGGTGGAGCGGTTGACCCAGGAGCTGAGGGAGCTGAGGGAGAGCCTGGGGCAGCAGGACGGTCCCCCAGCCAGAGGCCCCATCCCGGGCCGCGACCGGCCCAACAGCAGGCAGCCTGAGTTTGGAGGTGGGCATCAGAGAAGCATGGGACAGTATCTGTAACAGCAGCAGCCGGGGCTCAGAGTGCAGCGTCCTGCTGCGCTGGTGGTGGTCTTTGTGCCGGGTGTAAATACTAACTGAACATTTTTGTATTGTAACCAGTGATGGTGACGGACTAACCGAGCTTCTAACGCTTCTAAACACTGAATGATGTCCGTTTGATTAATGAGATGTTTAAAACTCCTCAACAAGCAGCAGCATTGTTTTACATCTTCTCAATGGCATCGGGTTAAAGGTCCAGTGTGTAACATTACGTCAGAATAGAGCGGGTCCAAACACTGGCTCTAGATTGGGCCAGGAAGTCTGAATGATTGCAATCTGCAGCTTCACCACTAGATGTCACTGAATCCGACACACTGGTCCTTTAAATGTTCACTCAAACTTGACAAACTTTACATTGTTTGAAAGCAAAAAGCTTCACAGTTCTGTGTGTTTAAACCATTTTAAGATGCCACATTTACTGCAGCAGTTACCTGCTTTTTACCAGGAGAGCATAAAAAAACAAAACAGTGGAAAAAGATCTTAAGAAGGCGAGAGGAACCATGTTTGTGTGTCAGTGGTTCACTATCATTCTGACTGTAATTAATTACCGTTTTATTTTGTGCACAAACAGCAAGACTCTTGTTGAGGGATTCGGTATAATGAAGGAAATATTGACGTACTCTCTGTTAGAGGGCGGTGGAGGTCCTATTCCAAAATACAGCCGAAAACAAAATAAAATAAAATATCTGAAATAATTCATACATACTAATAACTACTTTACTGATTTTCATCTTAATTCACATTCAAATATTAAAACTGATTCCACCAAGTCTAAATAATAGCTAGAATTATTATTTTTTTAATTCATTTTGTGAATTGAACATGTTTTTTCATGTCATTTTGGAACAATGTTAAAGCTGCACTAGGTAACTTTTATTAAAGTAGTTCAGAATTATATGGAAAATGTATTTTATTGACTTTTTTGTAAATGTTTCAATGCAGTTTAACCTGAATTTCCTTTCAGCTGCTTCCTCCTCAACATATTTTCTATTTTGTTTGATACCAAGCATCATTTACTGTGAAATGGTGCTGTAATTGTTCTGTATTTCACCATAATATCTGCTCACGTACACCAGTGATGATATATTCCCTCACATGTGTGTCGGTGTTTGCATGTCCCGCAGCTTGAACGAGTTTCTGAATGCTGTAAACTGTTGAACTTACACTTTGTGTTACTGAACAATACGAGCATGTTCCACATTGCTTTCATGTGATTATGATCCCGTATACGTAGTTTAATCAATGCTTACATTTATTTGAATGTGGGTTTGCTTTTGTGGTTTTATGAGACTTTATGTGCAATTCAGCAACCATCAGCTGTGGTTCAATCTTAATGAATATGATCATAAAGAGTGTCACACTGGAGCACAGTAAGTATGAATGTTTCTTATTATTGATCTTAAAACTGAAGAAATGTGACTCATTATAGTTCTAAAAAATCAGATATTATATTTTATTTATACATTTTCAAACATGTAATCAAGCTGTTTAATAAATAAACCTTACGTCATGAATTTAGGATTGTAGGTGCTTATCATGGTTTATATTATATTTGCTCTCTGGCCCAAGATATTGTTTTTATTTTATTTTATTTTTAAAGGAACAACAGATTATAACAGACGTTACTATATCTCATATTTATAAAGTTCAAAATACAAACAAAGGAGTGAAACAGACAAACACACACAGTCGGTTATGTTAACCAAACCAGCATAAAATAAATGAATAATAGTGACAGTAATAAATAAAATAAAGTGCCTTGAACATAGTTACAGTCAGAGTATTATGTCAGGTGGCAGTTATTTAATTACTTCCTCCCTCTATAGTGACATCAACACATATATTTACTCACTCAGTCACCAAAAACAAACCCTTCACACAGAAACTGAAGTTTTCTCCTCCTTGCTGTGTGGATTTGTGTCCGACTGAAGCCCCAAAATACACAATAATGATATGAATAACACACTTTACACACATTTGAATGTGAGTTCATAGAGCATACAAAATATAAGGATAAGAAGATATACTATAGACTTTATTGATTCCACACTAGGGAAATTCAGCTGTTACAGCAGCTCAATAAAACAATACAATAGATAAGAAAGATAAGGGTCTGTAAACCCAGAATTCTTTAAAATAAATCCAAATTCACCAAGAAATTAAAGTTTTGTATTAGAAAGAATATATGTATCACACTACAGAGGTTACCATCCCATAAATTGTGATATAATATCTATAAATATATAAATACTGTATTTATAGAATTTTAGGAAAGCTATAAAGAACACAAACAGTAACCTGCTCGTACAACGGTTGACGGTTTAAACACAAAAATTAAGTGTTTGAGAATTGATACAATATCACAAAACAATATATTGCAAAAAAAGAAGCAAAATTATATATTTTTTCTTAGTTTTAAGTTAAACTCAAATAAAGTTTTTGAAATAAACTAAACTTTATTTAAAAAAACTATAATAATTGAAAATTTTTGTTGCCACTATTTAATGTTCAAGCACTATAATAAAGGTTTCATAGCTTAACAAGTTTTTCTAAATAAGAAAAGTAAATAACCTCAACAAAAGATTATAGGTCAGCTGCCTTGAGTTTTACGGTGTATGTGTATCAATCAGTTTTTATACCCATATAAGAAATGATTGACTGCTTTCATTTTTTTTTATTAATTAATTAAATCTGGAGAAACATCATTTTATTTTAGCTTAATTTCTTTGCCTAAAATAGTAGAATATACAGTAAATACTGAATAATAAAAAATATATGAATCAGACCTTAAAAATATTTGTCTGTAATTGTAGGAATAAATCTCCTCCTCCTTGTTAAAATCCCTCAAACTCACAGAAACAGCTCTGAAGTGTGACTTCAGATTCCTCTACAGCCACGATTTGAGACTAAATTCATTTATTCATTCAGTAAATCAGGTTTTTACAAAGCTACATACAGCTCATTGTTCATTTCTCTCTCAGATTACCCACAATCCTCTGTTTAAACATCTTAATCTTTATAAATCCTTCCCTCCTATTTCAGCAGTTTCAGTTTGTCTCTTATTGTTCAAAGAGAAGTTTACAACAATAAAGTGCAGTTAATGACACAAAGCGACCATCATACAGTGAACTACGAGCTGTTTATATGAGCCTACAGTTAAAACCTTATATGGGATAACGAAGACGGAAGAATGTGAGCAGCTCTTCCAGAAACAGTGGACAGTGTGGACAGTGTGGACAGTGTGACAGTGTGACACTCTGCAGGACGGTTGCTGAACTGCACTCAGGAAACAGAAACGTAAAAGAAGTTCTCATCATGATACAAGTCTAACTGTTTTTATTTTTCCTGCTTCTCGCAGAACTGAGCTCGGAGGACGAAGATGAGGACGATCTGAACAGCGAGTACACTGAGAGTGTTGATGAAGAGGAGTCCAAGGTATGAACATGAATATGAACAACAGAATTTAACTACTGATGCTTGAACTGAAGAAAAAATATCAGTCATCACTCTGAAGCTGTGATATTAATAGAAACAGGTCTTCTGGGTTTATAATGTGAAGTTTGAATGCAGTAGAGAGCTTTAATAGTTCTCTAATAGGTGATTTTAGTAGTAGTAAATCCCAATACAATCCATATTTCTGTCATTTTATTTTGTGAGTGTTCTGTGGTAGCCTTGTTGTATACTTTTAATTTGAAAATTCTGTATGAGGGGGGAGAGATTTAGCTATTTCGGAGTTTATATTTATGATCTCTTTTATTTCAGGTTGATTTGTCTAAATAGGATTGAATGGAGTATATTTTAATTATATTTTCATCTTTATATTCATGTTCTTGGTGCAACATCTCAAACTAAATGAAGGCAGGACACAGATTGTCTTTATTAGGCGTGAAGTTGCTATGATCTCTGGTCTTTTTACATTTTACATTCAATACCAGAACTTTAGTTTTACTTGACTTTGTATAAAAAGCTACACTTCTCGGGCTCATAACTAATACTTCAGGCACACTTCTGTCTGTCTGTGTGTCTAAACAGGCCTCTGGAGGGACGGGAAAGGATCCGTCCCAGGATCTGTTATTTGAAGGTCAGGGACTGATGGAGGTCAAACAGCTGGTGGAGCAGAAGAGGGCGGTGGAGAGAGAGCTGGGAGAGCTCAAGGCTCAACTGGAGAAGGCCGGCTTCTCCTCTCTGTCACAGATGAGGTAGGACGGTCACTCAAACGATAAAGCCGTGGTCACATTTTATATTTTTATCAGTGTAAACAAATCCTATGATCAGTATATGTGATACATCCTCTTCCTCTGTTGTCCAAAATCTATTAAAAACACACTCACTGGATTCATCCACTGCTGAAAATAGTCCCCAACAAATGCACTATTTCCTGTTTGTTAAAAACTACAGTCAGACGTTGTTTTAGGAAATTACTGAACCTTTTTTTAAACTATATATTTGTGTTTTTAAATAAATAAAAGTTAGCTAGTTGCTCTGTAGCTAAACGTTACCTTAGCTTATCTTCAAAATGTGGTTGTCTTTTCCATAAAGATTAGCTTAACCTGTTGCATATCTCAGCACAGGAAAGGAGGAAGTTGACAAGGTTTGCTCAACTGTTATTGGAGCACATAGCAAAAGGGGCGGGGTTGAGGAAAGGTCAGCTAGGTGTTAGAATCTGATTAGTTGTCTCAGAAGCATGTCTGAGACAAATACACACTAATTCAGTAACCCTTTCAACAAGAGCAATCAAATACTTTAGTAATGTGCCACAATCATGCAATAATGCTTATAATATAAATAAACAGTTCTAATGAAATACGCTCCAACTAGTAGGCTAGATGAGGTAGAAAATAAATATTTAAGGTAGTTAAGCAGTGTACAGTGATCTATGAATGAATATGAGTACATTGTCTGTTGTCCACAGCTGCTTTATATTGTATGAAAAGTTTCCTTCCTTTCAGTGCATTCAATTAAATTCAATTATATTTGTATGGCGCCAATTCATAACAGTTTTCTAAGGACACTTTTCAAATAGAGCAGGTCTAGACCGAACTCCTTATAGCATTATTTACAGAGACCCAACAGTTCCACCATGAGCAAGCACTTGGCGACGGGGCAAGAAAAACTGCCTGTTAA